ATTGTCCGCTAGTATTTATGAAACTGGAATTTCCAGAGCCGTCTAAGCGAGATATATAAATAGACCATATTCTTAAGGTGGTCAGTCAGAGTAGCCAAGCGGTCTAAGGTATGAACTCTCTCCTCTCGCTCTAAAGCCGGGATCGTGGGTTCGAACCCCACTCAGGGCTTGGGTGTTTGGTGTGTCTATGCTTTTATTCTGTGTCTGTGTTGTCCTTTGTTTAGGTGGAGGCCTTGCGACGAACTGATTACTTTTCCAAGGAGTCCCTCCGTCTGTAAAATGATCATGAAACTGAAAATCAGAGGCCAGAGCTCAAGGGGGCGGTAGAGCCAGTAAAATAATATATTCTTACGGTAAAATTGAAATTCCTCTATATATTTAGTGGACTGCGGGATGACGTATATAAAGGATGGAGGTAAAGCTCCGGACATTTCGTACCTCAGTACTTAACGGAGTTGAGTCGTTAGCTTCATGCTCCACGTGCTCTATCCCCTCAGAATGACTCCACAGTACACACTTAATAATAGAAGAGGGGAACGGTTATTCATAACGTTGTGACTGGCCGTGTTGGGAATTGAACCCCCGATTGTCCATCACGTGCTGAGTCATGGAAGAAAGAATGTAAGTTTCAAGAATCTTTAGTTTAATATAGACTCAGAGTAATACAAAGAACAGTGCAGGCCTACTGTCGCTATCTGCCAGGGTAACGCACCGACATCTTATACGTCACAGGTACAACATATAACCTACCTCCTGCCCAAACGATTTGAGTTTCGGGCCCAACGCGACATCCAGTGACTTGTCTGTTTCAGACTGGGAACATCTGTGGACAGAATTTGGGCCCGTCATTCTGAGATTTTATTGTATACCCTGAGCAGTATTTCGCATTAAACCCAGGTGGTCTTTGCCCTGAGCAAATATTTCGGTAAGCGTTATCAGTTTCAATTTTTAATTATGACCGCCTCTGTGGTCTAGTGGCCAGAGTTTATGGCAACGGATCCAGAGTTCCGGGCTCAATTCCCGGGGCTACCAGATTTTTCTGAGAGGTAGTGAGTCTGGAACGGGGTTCACTCAGCCTCGTGAGGATAATTGAGGAGCTGTTTCAAGGATACAGCCGCTCTCGTCTGGAAACCCGAAATTAACGGCCGTGAGGATCCGTAGCGCTGGCCACGTAACACCCTTTATCCGAATAAGTTGGCACTAAGTTCACCGATAAGCGGCAGTCGCTCGGTCGGTATAGTTCGCTTGCGGACTATATACCACGGATCTTTTTTAAATTTTTAATTGTAGTTTCAACATTAATATATTTTCTGTAAATGACATTACGTAAACATAAAAGAAACATTTAAACCTGAGTAAGCACTCCCACTGTGTAAACACTGATCAGTGTAGAGAGGATTAGCAGACGAAAAATGGGTAAATGTAAGAATAGTATAGCCCTGAAAACGGTTAATAAGGCCGATACTCATATTAATTAATACTATCACGTGTTGGGTATGTCACACGACAAGTGATTTCACGCCTTATTTGATACAGCGAATTTATTGAACACTCGCTTTAACAATCACACAATTTACAATCTCACAATTACTGCCATCGGCAGTATCACAAATACTTCTTGTGCTGGAGACACTGCCATGCACTCGATACAACCCGACTCGGCGACTGCTACAATTCAACTGACTGGTTAATTGTTACTCGCTAGTAACTCACTCAGTGCTCGCTCGTAACTGGCTCAATTCTCACTCTAGTAACTGGTTCACTAAACACTACTGAATAGTAGTGAGGAATACGAGAGGATAGATCTGTCGTTTACAGTTGCTGCTGGTGCTCGTCAGCGCAGTCTTTCTCGGGTCAGAGTCCCGTGAGACTCGGGGCAAAATTTTACTGTCTCGACTTTCCTTTCGTCGCCTCCTACGACCCGCAGGGCTTCGGTGGAGGTATTCAACCCTTCTCCACACGGGAGGCTTCTTGATCTCTTGAACTCTCTCACAAATATCCTCTCTTTATAACTTTATAATTCGGGGCGAAACGAAGAGAAACCACCACCTCGAACTGTTCTTCTATTATTATTTGTGTTTTGTCCGTCGCTACGAAAAGTGCCTAGTGACATGCTACCCAGCAACGGAGGTTCCACTCTTGACTGCGTAATCTCGGAAATGTGTTCACCGAACCGTTATCTAGCAATGGTCATATTCGTCACGATATTAAACTAAATAAAAAGTTTTTTAAAGTTACAGGACCAGTTTAAATTTATTCGCTTGTGCTTCATAGACTTGGTTATTGCAGGGCAGACTTTGTGTCGATATATTGAAAAAAAGACGTGCTTAAGGCACAATGCGACCCCTCAGTGTTCTGAAGTTGGACGTCCATGTCATCTTATAACGCTAAGAGCATTTATAGAACCAAAGGGATGCATAATTAGTTCTCTTGCATAAAGTGGGATAGTTTCTTGGGCGCAAGGAGATGAAGTAATTTAAAAGGCCTACTCGTAAATGATTGGAAGCCGATCAGAAGTAAAAGTGAGCAAGACGCAATTGGACGGGTTAATTAAAACAGAAGCCCTGAGTCTCTACATGTACGACTTCATAAAGTTTTCTTCTTTGAATACTCATTGTTTCATTGTAAGACATTCCGACCAATGATAACTTGGTGGTCTTGAGTTGTTTGTTTTACGCAGGAGGTAACCAGACCCCCATCGGGCCAGAATTTCAATTTCCGGTTGTCCCTATACCAAATGGCGGCATCTACTGTTTACACATGCCTCACTCTTAAGTCGGCTTCTACCCTAGGACCTGTCCGGCGAAAGAGACCTTCAGCAGCTATGTCTCCGCTGCCACAGGTCTGAATTCCATCAGGGCATGCAGTTCCCCAACGAATGAGAAAGGGTTTTACGGGAATAATGAAATTTAACTGAAGAAGTTAGATCAGAGTTAAGTGTAAAGGTATCCCTGTAACAAGCCGTGGAGGCCCTTACGGTTGTGAGATGCTGAGGTTCCCACATTTTACCCTTGACCCCAGGAACGTTCCTGGTACTCATTTCTGTTAGAGACTGAGTCGACCCCAGGGCCATAGTGCGGATGGAAGGATACGCACTGGAAAAATATTTTATTACATTTAAAAATTGGCTGACCGTATAGAAAGAATAAATGTTTGAAGAATGCTGAAGACTAAAAATAAACACTGACCAAAATTAAGGCGATATTATTAAATATTAAAGATGATTTGAAGTGACGTATGAAAAGGTTTCCAATTTTGAGATATGAACCAATGATGAAATTTAATAGCACAGTATAAACTATGAAAAGTGACATTTTTTTATATCTAAAATTGCACTTTTGGTGGCGTTTGTAGAGCCAATAAAATTAGCTTATATATTTGTGTGCTTACACGTTACTATTACGTTTAAAAGATGAATTCTTAATCGTGGGGACGCCATGAGAGGATGTGACACATGGCGTCTAGCTAGGACTCACACCTAACTTTTACACACGCAACCATACGCACATGTAACCCACGCACGCAAACACTACAGTTTCATAAAATTTCATTACATATTTGTCATGTCCAAAAACGTTTTAGAAGCGAAGTTTATACCAAATAAAATGCGTTCTGCTGTACTCTGTTGTGTCAGTGGAGTGTTGCTGATAAGTCACGAAATTCATTCCAATTTTACATCGTTCGGCTACACATACGAGTATTAGCACTACCTGAGTTCGAATTTGTTCTATAATTGCATTTTTAAAAGCTAATTCGACATATCTCTACGTTTCGTTATCCTACATAGGATAAACCTCTTCCGTATACGAAATATAAACGAAATTACTTATTCGTGCTGTTAAATACATTCTTATTTAAATTGTCATATTAATAATTGTTCGAAAATTTTAAACTATTATCTATGTACGTGGTGAGGAGAATGTAACATACAAGAACTGCTATGCTTTTGCCAATTAGCTACCTAGATGAGATAGCAATCAGTTTTTGTTTTAAACAGTTTAAACGTTCTGTCACATTACGTGAAATATGAATTTGTTGTTATGATACACAGTTTAAATTTTACACGTGTGGGAACCCGGGGTGTAAATCACACGAATGAGAAAAACCCGATTTTAAATTCACGCCTCCATTCAGAATAGAAATAACAACTATAAAACGAAACAAATTCCTCTCTACTCTTTGAACAGTAGAACATCTCCAGTTAGTAGGCTCCTGGGATAAAGCGGATGAGAGGCCTATGTTCTTGTAATTGTTTAGAGCACAATTTGTCTTTAGCATTACTCAATAACTCATTCATGGAGCTGAGCACTTCTTGAGCAGCCGCCAATTTTGCAGCTACTCAAGAACTTCCCAGCATGTTATGTAATCCGAAGGTTCATTACCGTGTTCACAAGAGTCCTTCACTGATCCTTATCCTGAACCAGATCGAGCCAGTGCATACCATCCCATCCTATCTCTCTAAGATCCATTTTAATATTATCCACCCATCCACGTCTCGGTCTTCCTAGTGGTTTCTTTCCTTCTGGCTTTCCCACCAATCTCCTATAGGCATTCATCTTCTCTCCCATTCGTGCTACATGCCCTGCCCATCTCACCCTCCTTGGCTCGATCATTCTAATTATACTTGGCGAAGAGTACAAGTTATGAAGCTCTTCACTATGCAGTTTTTTTCAATTGCCCATCACGTTAACTCTCTTCGGTCCAAATATTCTCTTCAACACCCTGTTCTCAAACACCCTCAGTCTATGTTCCTCCCTTAATATCAGAGACCAAGTTTCACACCCATACAGAACCATAGGCAAAATTATAATTTTGAATATTCTAATTTTTATGTTTTTGGACAGCAGACGAGAAGGCAAAAGGTTCTGGACTGAATGGTAGCAATCATTACCCGAGTTCAATCTCCTCTTAATTTCCTCCTGAATCAGGTTTTGACGCAGTTAGGATTAGACTTTTACACTACGTAACGTACCAATTGTAGCAAAACTTTTATATTTCAGGTGTCCTGGGTTCGACACCGAGATATCCACTTGCTGACAGTTGGACGTTATACATATACAAGCGATCAGAGGTTCGAAGCCATCCATTCACCCCACACGGAAGACTGGACACTGAGAATCAGATATCCACAGCGCAAAGATTCGGGAATCTACGAGTGTCAGATCAGCACTACGCCGCCAATTGGGCATCCTGTATATCTCACCGTAGTAGGTAAGTTGCAGCGTCATTAATGTCTGCCGGAAGTGCCGTCAATTAATAGAATTAAAAATAAATTTATCTTAATTTTTCTTGGGTCCCTTCTCACGTACGTTAATAATGATTTAGTTAAATTAAAATTTATCTCTGTTGCCATTGTCTACTGGTAGAAAATGAAAGCTAACAGTTTCAACCTCAGTGAATGTACCCCAAATAAATGGATGTTTTCGTTATGCTTTTACGTTCATATGTTGAAGAAAGGCTGGATGTGTTATAGAGATTTCTAAAGTGAAATTGTCTGTATCAAGAATATTTCTCGCTAGCCAACTGTCCGTTACATGCCAGTGAACATAGTAGTACTTTATACTGACCCATAACAATGAGGAATATATGACATCTACCAAATGCTTTCGTTAATCTTCATGCCTCATTGTCATTGGCATTCGTATCATGCTACCACGTATCTGTTGATGAAAAGTAATCGAATACCAACATTACACTGCACTGAGTCAGATTTCCTCATTTTACTTCCATAAATGTTCGTCACACCGAAATTAAAAGTGTAAGTATCTTAATCAGATTTATCTATTTTGCCTCATACTAATGCAATATATGTAGATTTTGTTTTAGAGAAATTTAAAAAATTCAAATTAGTTTTCTGCAAACCCTTACTATTTAGTTCATCGTTCGGGTAAAGTTAAAAAGTAAAGTTGTCTCTGAGCTTAACTAATTAAGAATTACGCCATAAAGGCTTATGGGGGAGGCGAGTGGTTAGTTTGACGCCCCTGCCGCTTTATCCCCGGGAAAGTTCTCCCGGTGTCCATTGGATAAGGGGCTGGGTGGGCGCCAAGACCGGTCTGGATAACGCGGAGAAGAGAAAATTCTTGACCCTACCGGAACTCGAAAAAGGAGCAGGGATGCCTTAGTTGGAGTTCGACACAAAGGAACAAAAATAGCAATAACCTAGCCCATCACGACGCCCACACTTAACTGTCCCAACTGCAGCAATTTTATTAATTTTATTTCATTTATCCAACTTAAATTTTTTAAATTTGTAGAATGTCTTTAGGTATTTACACGGCACATACTCAAATTTGAATAATAACACCTACATTTTACTATATTTTACAAACATACATCCATATTAGCCAAAAGATACAATTGAATAACATCAGTTATACATTTACATAAAGCACCTGAAGACAATCATGTAAATCGGAACATGTAGCAATGTGCATTATAAAACAATATTAAGACGTTAGTGTCAGTTTGTTTACGACTTTTGTGAGGACGGCCGACAAGGCGTCTCTAATAATACACGCAGCAGGATGCAAATAATGAAGTTGAGTAGAATGTAGTGAGTCAGCTCCATGAAGTCCTATATACTCATACTTGGAGCTCTACCAATGTCGAACCTAATTATGACATGCGCTGTGTATGTTTTCATTCTGAAAAATATTATTCCTCATTCATGTTCCAGTCCGCTGACAATACTTTTTTCAATTTATGATAGTAATAATAAATATGAGTATTGCTGAAAATATTCCTATTCTCATTTACTGGCAATCGAATTTTGTGATAGCTAGACTAAAGAATTAAAATGAAAAAAACTGAAAATACAATTTCTGACCCAAAAGTTTGTGTTATTTAGATAAAAGCAGTAATTTCCTGCTTGTGTGTAAGTATATTCTCACCTGTTCGCTCGCCTTGGGTTCGAATATTTCCAGGAACCCTGCAGCGAAGAAACATTAAGCACAGAAGTGTTTACCGAAGAGTTTGTTGTTGTTTATTCATATTTCTCTGCACAATCCTCGCATAATTTAAGCTTATTATATTGTTATATGAGGTTCTTGTGAACCCGTAAGTATTCAACATTAGCAAATAGACCACCGAACTCCTCCAACCACCCTCTTGCTTGTATGTGCAAATGGAATTCTGGAGGTTCAGTTGTAAACTCAGTGATGGATACTGTATGATCCATCATATGCTATACAGACTCGATATACTGAGACAGGTACAAGGTTTGCGTCTATCTACACCAAACAACACAGACAATCTTAGTACATAATCAGAACGAAATCTGTAATATGAAACAGAATCCACACAATTTATAAGTAAAAATAGTAAAGCTATCCCTGTAACAAGCCATGGAAGCCCTTAGGGTTGTGAGACGTCGAGGCTTCCACATTTTCTAGACGGCTCACAGATGGCAGTGAAGTTGTCAGTCTTACCCGCCTGTCGTCTTCTATCCCCAGGAAGATTCCTGGTACTCATTTCTATTACAGGCTAAGTCGACCCCAGGGACATAGTGCGTCTGGAAGGATTAGGTCAAATGAAAATTCCATTGACCTTTGGGCTGTTGAGTAACGTCTTAAGTAAATAAGGAATCAAAGTTAATTGAATTGCTGCATTAAACTTTCTTATTAGACTCTTCTTTAAGTACTGTACTAGACCTCTCTCATACACGTAACATATATTTTCGGGCGAAAGTTGTACTGAACTACTTTTTGCACTCTGATCACTGTAATGTTGAACTCCTGTGGCCCTCACTAGCGCACGTGTTTCATGGGCATTACACATAAAAAAATTTACAGTTGCCCTAGGCGCAACATGTCCAGTGTATTCGGGTGATTTTTGTTAAAATGTCCCACACATATATATCCATATATTTTACACTTAACGTTTTTGGAGGATTGAGTTCATATACCGTTATTTTTTTAAAAATAACAACCTTTTTCTCGTGTAGATCGATCCAGTTTTTATTCCCGTACAGTTGCGTTCCTTTCGGGTGCAAACAGTTGGCTATCACCTCTGTCTGCATGTTACCCAAATTTCTGATTGTCTGCTGCTCTGGGGCATTTTGCCATGCTGATGTAAAAACACGCATAAAAATCCGAAACCGTGAATCCAAAAGCCTGTGGCTTGGTGTTTACTTTTTGTGGATTATAAAAAGGGCTGAACTTCGCATGATAAACTTGTCAGGAATCTGCAGGCACATGGTCAGTTACTGACGTCTGTTATCTCCAGACCATCTGTTTTCGTTATGCATACATGCATTTCGATGTATTTCATGGAATGTAATCGGTTTAGAGGGATGTTGAAAACTGTAAACATGGAAGTTAGCATATATTTACTAAATATTTCTCAGATGTTTTAATTTGGGTTCCACACGTTTACATAATATGACACTGATGACTGTAAGAGAAATGCGCCGAGGCAAATGTTGCAAACTCTTGTTTGCCAGAGCCGTCAGCAGGGAAATATATTCATGAATCCCATGGGACTCGGAACAAAGGATCACTGTGCTGGCTAGGGACAGCAGCGATTTAGCAGCCAATCGCTCATTTATCACTTGTGATACGGTCCCTAGCCGATAAGGACATAAGCACAGAAACTGACGAATCACCATTGTTAGGAGCCGCTACCTAGCAATAGCTAATGAAGACATAGAAGACCTTACGTGTGCTGCAGTTACAGTGATCTTCATGGTTTATAAATCAGTGAGACTGTTATAGTTAGTTAGAGTTACGACCTGTAAGTATTCAGTAAATTCAATTATCAACCTAAAACGCTTGTCTAGTCACAAGCAAGTAAAAATATCTTTCAGTTCTCTGCATTTTCGTTCTTCGAAGTGACCAAGGTTTGATTCTAGAGACATAAAAGAGAGTCATGTGAAATAGAATTGAAAGACTTAGAACTGTTGGATAGAAATGGGACGTTAAAAGTCCTGTCTCAATTGTTAGTTTCGGAATCCTAATGGAAACCGTACACGTTCTTTTTACTTCTGAATGAATACTGATTTAGTGATGTTCATGTTACTTGTAATAAGATATTCCACACATATCCTATTAGGAATTAAATAAGTAACTGCTTAAATGTGAAAGCAGTTTCTCTTGTAACCCCTTAAGTTTGACGGTTTAGAAGAAGCAGGAGCAGGAAGTATTCCAGGCTCCTAACCAGAGTAGGAGGGGAAGTACAGGGAAATCTGTGCACACATACACTGTCTGTCTTATAAAGCCATGTCTCAGGGTGAATTGAAACAAGATTAATAAGAATACAGAGTGACTGTAGCACATTTATAAACAAACATACCACGAAGGTCTAATATTGTCTAAAATATTTTTCCGGTTTTTAAATACCTCTAAATTTGACTTTTTCCACAAATATAAAAAAGTACCAAAATTCATTCGGTTTCCATTTCATATATATGTCCATATGCAGGTTGGCTCAAAAGTCAGTTAAATGTTTAGTAAAATGTGCGCCAAATTATGTTAGAAAGAACAATATTACACACACACACACACACACACACACATATATATATATATACATTTTTCGAAGTGAGATCCTCTACGTCTAATGAACATCTCATAATGATGCGATACTGGTCAAAAGATTGACTGATAGGTTTAAATATGAACATTCCTCTTAATACGACGGAATGCTTTAAGTTAACTGATATTTTGGTCACTCTGTGTATACGAGTAAGCATTTCTCCTTTCAACCCGGAATACGTTTTGAATGATAATGAGGGAGAGTCAGTAAATAGGACACAAATAGAAATAAAATTGAAAATATGCGATATTCGAAACTGTAAAAGAAAAAAAAAATATTTCTCGCATGTCCTCCGCCAACATCGATACACTTTTTCCATAGCTTTATCAGTGCGTCGAAAACCGCAGGGTAGAAGTGTTTTGACTGTTGTCGCAGCTACTTCCAAACCTCACTTAAACCTCTTCGTCATCAGTGAAGCTGTTGCCGTCCAGGTGTGAATCGCTTTATGCGACGAACACTTCGCGCCGTAAACAGGGTACATTTCTATGTAAGTTTTGAGGTCTTCACGGCGATGACTATGAAGAAAGTCGTCTTCTGGGTTTAGGCGCCGTGTATTCTTCGTTTTGGCAAACGTTTCGGAGGAACCTATCCTCCGAAACGTCGGCCAAAACGAAAAATCCACGGTGCCTAAACCCAGAATTCGACTTTCTTCAGGGTACATTTCTATTTGCATATCCTTC